TAAATTAAGGATCTTGAGATGGGGAGCTAATTCTGATTATCCAGGAGGGCTTCATAAGAGGTCCTTACATATGAGCCCTTACAAGACGGCGGGGGTGGGTAGGAAGGACAGAGTCAGACAGGAGTGACAAGGGAAGCAGCGGTTGCAGTGACGTGCTCTGGAGATGGAAGACGGGGCCACGAGCCAAGGAATGTGGGGGCCTCTAGAAGCTGGGAAATTGAGTTTCCAGAAGAAACACAACTCTGCCAACACCTTGGACTGAGCTCACTCAGACCCACTGTGGACTCAACTCCAGCCTCCAAACTATATGAAAATAACTTTGTGTTGTTTTCTGCTGCTGAATTTGTGGTAATTTTTATGATGGCAGCAGGAAACTCATCCACTGGAAAATTCCTCCTGCCTTCAAGAATGTAGCTTCAGACTTTATTCATACTAACAGTAATAGCTAACATTAATTCAGGGTGGCCCACCTTATTCTAAGTGCTTTTCTTCTATAAATTCATTTAATCCTCACACACACACAGAAAAAAAAAACATACGAAGAAGACTATTATAATCCATAGTCTACAGATGAGAAAACTGAGCCTTGAAGAGGCAAAGTAAACTGTCAGGGCCATAGAGCAAGAAAACAAGAGATAAGGGGACAGTCACCTACAAAGGAGTTCCTATCAGACTGTCAGCGGATTTCTCAAAAGAGACCTTACAGGCAAGAAGGGGCTGGAAAGAAGTATTCCAAGTCATGAAAGGCAAGGACCTACATCCAAGATTGATCTATCCAGCAAAGCTTTCATTTAGAATGGAAGGCCAGATAAAGTGCTTCTCAGATAAGGTCAAATTCAAGGAGTTCATCATCACCAAGCCCTTATTATATGAAATGTTAAAGGGACTTACTGAAGAAAAAGAAGATAAAAAGGATGAACAGTGAAAGGACAGCAGACTCACAGTTATTAAGAACCACACTTAAAACAAAAGCAAACTAAGAGGACAGCTAGATCAGGAGCAGAACCATAGAAATGAAGATCACATGGAGGGTTAGCAACAGGGGAGTGGGAGAAGGAGAAGGGGGGAGAAGGTACAGAGAATAAGTAGCATAGAGGGTAGGTAGAAAATAGATAGGGGGAGGGCAAGAATAGTAGGGGAAATATAGAATCTAAAGAACTTGAGACAAGTGTTCATGAACTAAAGGGGGGATGGTGGGGGAGGGGGTATGCAGGGTGGAGGGGAATGAAGGAGGGAAATAGAACAACTGTAATGGCATAATCAATAAAATATATTAAAAAAAAGAAAACAATACAGCCTGGAGTTGGACCCAGGGCTTCTGACTCCAGATCCCACATGTAACCCTGCCTCTCCCAAATCACAGCCACTACCTGGGCGCCCTCTGGGTGCCAGGCTCCTGGCTCATGCTTGACACACATTCCCACACTTCATTCTCACCATCCCCTGATGGAGCAGGGTTACTAACCATCCTTATTCATGGCAGGAGAAATGAGGCACAGCAATGTTACACCCAGAGGTTAAACACGTCTGAACCCAGAAGTGTCTGAGCCCAAAGCCCAGGTTTAACCACACCCCCTACTGCCTTCCTCACCCCGTAAGAGGCCCCATCACTGAGGAGAGGACAGAGATAAGTAGCACAACCACCTAATTTATCTTCCCAACTGGCATACTTAGCAAGTAGAAGGAGTCACTATTAATAATTCCACTGGGACAAGGGGCATAGACTGCAACCACCCTGGCAAACCAGGATGCATGGGCCACCCTACCGATAAGGGGACCACACTCTGCAGCCCAGGGCTCCCCAGCAGGGGTGCTGTGGAGCAGCTGTCAGCCCCACCTCACCTTACATCTGCCTGGTCATGGTCCAGGCTGGAAGAAGAGGGGTGGGCCTGCCAGAGCGCAGAGCAGCACAGACAAAGCTCCGGATCTGTGGTCTCAGCACACCGGGCGGAGCTGTCTGATGGCAGACCGGGAGTCCGTCTGAGCGCAACAGGCCGAAGGCCCTGGATAGAGGCCAGGGACGCAAAGAGACCTTGAACCCTGCTGGTGCCCCAGCCAGGAAACCCAGGGGGACCTCAGAACCTTGGCCAAGGGCCAACTGGGAGTCAGCGGGGCCAACGGCCTGAGACACCCAGCTCTCCTCCAAAGTTCTGGGCCTGTAGGACAAGAGTCCATGTGGCCTGAGGCTCAGACTGAGTCCTGGTCCTTCTCAGCTGTGGGATCACAGCCTTGCCCTTCTCCCCTGTGAGACTCCTGGATGAAATGCAGCCACTGAGAACAACTGCCCTACCTACATCCACTGGATCCATAATAGTAAATAATAGCAGCAGATAACAGCAAATCAGCTGGGAAGTATACTCAGCACTTAGCAGGCATTATGGGAGTAAATCAAATCCCCTCTGAAATGGGTACTATGATTATCCCCACTTTACAGTTGAGGAAACTGAGGTGTGGGGGGATGGATAACTTGCCCAGAATCCCATGAGTGGTAAATGGTAAAGCCAGGACTGGAATCCAAGCTGACTGCCCCTGTGAAATCCCACTAGAACATTCTCCTTCCCCACCCGGCCAACCTAAAGCAGCAGTTCTTGGTCAGGCCTTGCCTCACTGGGCTCTCCTGGCTCTGCCCAGACCCTACCGGCCTGTGGGGCAGGAGGTGCTCACTCCCTGCCACATGCTGTTCATTCATTAAGGCCTGGTTTCTCCCTGCCATTCAAATTATGCACAGCGATAATAAAAAAGCCTTTTCCTTTACCAAAGAGGCCTATTTATGCCGAGAGAGCGTTTCGCCCCCACAAGACTGAGTCATCACTCAAGGCCTTGCTGGAATCAAAGATGAGTCTCTTCAGGGACTGACTGAACCCCACCCACACCCCTCCCCCAGCTGCTCTGAGCATCCAGGCTTCTCGAGGTACCTCTCCACTGTGGAGTGGGCAGGGTGTGGCTGTCATTCCCCACTGCTCTGCTCTCTCATGGCTGGCTGACTGATATTCAGTCAACATACAAAAGCATGTTTATTGAGCACCTGCTGAGTACCCTTACTAAGAGTATGGCCATGAAAGACACGGTCCCTACCCTTGTTGGGAGCAAAGGCATTGAGAGAAGGAGCAGAAGCGTTTATGCTCCACGATTGATTCACATACCAACTCGAGCATTCATTGGCTGGGTGATTTGATTCTTTGGTTGGGCAATTTCTCAAGGCCTCAACTGCTTCATCAGCAAGATGGGCTAATAACACCAATGTCATGGGCTTGTTGAAGGAGTCAGTGGGGTTCACGCATATAAACGGAAACATTGGGCCCTCGGTGAACACTGGCTGGGATTACCAACAACAGCCAGTACCAATGGCTCTGGAGCCACGCCAGCAGAATCTCTCCCAGATGGAGGAGTTCAAGAAGGCTCCCCAGGAAGTGATACCTGAACTGGGTTTTGAAGGATGCTACAGAAAGGGGGGGGTTCCCTCGCAGGGGGAACTGCCTGAGGGCTAAAGGAGATCATGGGGCTCTGGGAAACACGACCCTGTGTGGGAAGCAGGTACAGAGGCTACATAGGATACCCAGTGGCAGGGGACACAGCTGCAGAGGCAGGTCTGGACGAGGAGTGGACCCCCTGGCCAGAGCCCCAACCAGTGATGATACCCAGAGCATCACTCTGACTTCTTCCTGCACAGTTTGGGCGCCACATCCAGCACCCATCCACTTCCACCTGTAGTTTGGTGACCTCAGGGAAGTCGGGCAGCTGCGTCCTCTGTTAGTCGTGTGCCCATTCATTCGGACACTCAGTAAAGTTCTCTGAGGGCTTACGGCATGCCAAACATGCCAGGAGAGGCTGGCCACTTCCTAACCCTCACTCGGCCCATTTCCGGTTGTGCCACGCTGGCCTGGCAGCTTTCTTCTAGGTGAAATGGGGTAACAGACCCCCCCAGAGTCATTCATTCATTAACAAGTGTAGTCAGGGCTAAACGAGTGATTATTTACTGTTCTCAGACTTTAGCATAAATGCTTAGTGGTACTATGGTTAACGGCCAGGATGGTAAGAATCCCAGCTCCAAAGTACAAAAAGCAATGCTTAGAGGCACCCCCAACTCAGGCAAAGCCCCTGCCTCCTGTCCCTCGCCGGACCCTGGCCCGGGAGCAAATGACCAGGTCTCCACTGCCCACACCCAGCCCTGACTCACCACCACCTTAGAAGCCAGCCCAAACGGAACCATCCATCGCCCCTCCCCCCACCCCCAATGCCTCTCATCCTTTCAGGGCTCTCTGGGTTGTGGTCAGCCAACCCAGGTTTTGGTGGGAGCAGGAATGAAGGTCGCCTCAGCCTCTGCTGGTCAAAGCTCCAGAGATTAAAAGGGTGGCCCTCCTGACGTAAATTAACTAATATGAACATTCTATTAAAGAAATTTACGAGCCTACACAAAACGAATGGAACAGTGATGAACTGCCTTATACAGACAATGCAGCTTCAACAACGACCAATATCCCACCGTTCTTGTTTTGTGGGTATCTCCAGCCACTCCCCACCCCACCCTCACTTGACCTGTTAGGGAAAACCTTACGGCCAGCCTTTCCGGCACACCCCAGTGCTCAGGGCTCCCCCTGCTCACATGTCCTAACACAGTTGGATACCTGTGCCGCCTATCCCTCTGCACTGAGAGCTTCCTCGAAATAATCCCAGAAGAACAACCATTTTCGTGTCCCTAATAGAACGGCAATCAGTGGCCACAGCCATGGGGTCATACAGGACGGCGATGAAGTTGCCAGAGCCCTGGAATCAGATGGCCTGGGTCTGAATCAACACCTCCTAGATGTGTGACCTTGGACAGGTCGTTTAACCCGTGTTTAGATTTCCTACCTGGTAAAAGGGGAATGTCAGTAACAGGTTGGTTGTGAGGCTTTGGAAAAATAAACAATCACAGGTCCACTTGTCCAGCACAGAATATGCATCGAGGAAATTCTAGAAACAGATGTTAATAGGACAGTGGGGGAGCAGGCTCTGCTCACCTGAGATACCCTGAGCATCTCCCATGTTACAGGTGAGGGGACGGGAGCCCAAAGAGAAGCAGCGAGTTGCCAGAGAGAGCCTGCCCTCCGTCCCAAGTCCATGTGCCGGGAGTCCACACGGCCTGCCTTCAGCTGTGATCCCTGGAAATGAAGAAACTCTGGAGGAGAGAGATGGGGGAGCAGTGGCCGGTGGCCGAGCACACCCAGTGGGTGTCCGCATCCTGGCCGGTGCGCTCTCCCGGCCTTAAGGACAACCAGACAGCGAGTGCCCCGTGTGTGCACATGCGTGTACAATGGTGGTGCTGAATCAATTTCGCAAGACAAAAGGGTGTGCCAGGGTGCGCATCCCAGCTCACTCTTCTGATGAGACAAACCCTACAGCCAACCTTGCATTCGATGCGGCCGATCACTACCTATGCCAGCACAAGAGGCAAGAAACCGGTCGGCTAACCTAAGCTTTAGCAATTCTTGGCAATTTAGACACCCCTCCCTATCTAGGTTTTAATTTTTTTTCCTATTTAAAGAAAAAGGGTAGGAAAAAATGAATCAATCCAGTTGCTGAGTGATGTTCAGACAAAGACAGCCTCCAGTCCACTGCCTGGTGTTTGACAGCTGGGGAAGCGCAAGCGGAGGGGCAGGTTTGGGATGTGTGTTGACGCGCTGCCTGGGCTCTAGGCCTGGACTCTCCAAGGTTCCTCCCAGGAGGGAACCAAGTCAGGATCTCCCCCTCCCCCCGCCCTTCCCCACCACTGCATTGCCGTGTAGGGAGGCACCTCCCAGATCCGCAGGAACAATGGGCTGGGGAGGGGGCCCTGCCTCGGGAGCTGGCCAAGGGCGGGGGCCACGACCACGATGGCCAGACTGCGACCACACCAACCGCGGTGGCTGTGCTGCCACCGGACTCAGTTTCCCCAGCTTTGGACTCCCTGCAGAGCCAGGCGCTCCTTTCCCGGATGAATGAATTTCTCTTAGTCTCGGTTCGTCCTGTTACTATGGAAGAAGCCGCCGGCGACTCTCCGCACCCGCGGCTGCTCCTGCCACAGCCCTGCACGTCAGGCACGAGTGGCACCTCCCAGCGCCCAACTTTCCCCACTTGGGACCCACAATCGTGGCCAGCCTGTATGCTCTGCTGGTTAAGCCGTGATTTGTAGGCTGGGGCTCCAAAAGCTGTTCCCTCCTCCCTCTCTTGCTCCTTATCCTCCCCTCAATCTGAGCCCTAACCACGCTCCCTAGTTAGGAAGCTCCCTGGTTAAAGAAAGCGGCCCTGGCATATTTGCAAAATGTGAGCGTCCCTCCGGCGCATCGGGAATTGTCTTCCTCCCCACCCCCACCGGGGCAGAGGGGGCAAAGCGAGAAGAGTGGAGCCCCCCCGCTGTGCTCCTCAGCCCACAGAATCCCTGGAGTAATTATGGGGAGGGGCGTGGGGTGCAGTTCGGCCCGAAACTGCAGCCCCCTCTCCAGGCGAGCAGGACTGATCTCAGCGGGGTGAGGAAGGGGAGAGGTCCAAATGCTCGATTTCCCAGGGGCACCCACCCCCGCCTCGCTGAGTCATGGAAAGGAGCTGCTAGAGACTCAGGACCACTCCACGGCCAGCCCTTTACCGTGTAAATGCGGGCGTCCCCGCACGGCTCGCAGGGGATGGACAAGGTGGGCAGCTCTCACTCGTTCTGGCACCGGGCCTTGCCCGAGGCACCACCTGGTGGCGAGGACGGCCAGGGCGCCCAGGAGGGGGCTGCGGTCCCATGGCAGTGTCCGCACCCCTGCTGTGAGCGAAGCACATAACCGGTGGGCAGCCTCGGTACCCCTGGACACCTAACCCTGCTGTGGCGCTGACCCTGGTCCCATCAGTTGGGTGGGGGCTCCCACTTTCCTGTGGCGCGCTAGGGAGCACCCCGGCGCTGGGCCGAACGCGCCTCGTCCCTGCTGGGACCACGCAGCTCTGCACTCACCTCGGGGCCCCGTGTCGCTGCTGACAGCCTCCTTGTCCGCCATGGTCACACAACCCCTCCTGCGAGAGAAGCCTTCGGCTCAGCGCCCGCGCCCCGTGCACGTCTTAGTCCGCGTCCTTCCCGGCGCTCAGGCCCGGGGCTGCCGCTGCTGCAGCCCCGGCTCCTCCCCGGGCTCCTCCCCGCTCGCCCCGTGCCCCGCCCCACCCTGCTCGGCTGAGCCTCGGGTCGTGGAAGGTTGGGGAGGCGGGCACGTTCTAGGGCCTGGCTGGAGAGTGTGGAATCTGCTCGCCCGTCCGCCCTAGCCTGTCCCGCCGAGGCCAAAGGGGCCCGGCCGGGGCTCTCTGGCTCCCCGGCTCCCCGGCCGAATGCGGGAGCGCGCAGGGCGCACGGCTTGGTGAGCAGTGGGACTCGGTTTCAGGCCCCCTCGGCTCCTCTACACGCCCGCTCTTTGGAATCGCAGGGGGCTGAAGCCCCGCAGCAGGCACCGCAGACACACCGCACTCCTGAGGAGGCCCGCTCCAATCCTCACCAGTTCGTTTCTCCCCCCCCCCCCCCCCCGCCCCATTCCCACGCAGGAGTCCCAAAGGAACGGCCAAGGGCCCACGCAAAAAGCGGAACCCAATGCGGCCAGTTCTCAGGCTGCAGACCGAGAACCTGCTTGAGCGCGCACGGTGCCCTGGGCACAGCTGCGGGCGTCCACCCCCCGGCCGCCTCCAGGACTCCATGGCAACTCGGGAGCCCCGAGGCGCTAGCTGCGGAGGCTGCCACCAGTCTTCCATATATGGGCTCTCACTAGGGCCCTCGTTAGAAGTCTGAGAATAACGACATTAATAATGCACAGCTTCGGGGTCAATGTCCCATCTTCCCTGTCCTGCGGCTCCGCCACACACATGGGCCACTGGCACCTGTTTAAGCCTGGCCAGGTGGCTTCTGGGTCAGCTGTGCAACAACAAGGCATCAAGGCAATGAGGGCAGAGATAAGAATCTAATGGCACCATTACTGGGTCCTTCCAGGGTGCCTGGCACCATGCTAAGTGCTTAAGTCTTCTCATTTTCTCTGCATAACTAACAAGTGGGGACTAGAGGTCCCCATTTTGCAGATAGGGAAACTGAGGTTTGAGGGAGATAAGTAATGATCCCCAGGACACACACAGCTAGTAAGTGGCTAAGCTGAGATCCCCACCCAAGTCATAACCATCTTTATGTCCTGAGATGGGCCATAGCTCCCACAGGGTACCTAGGGGAGGCTTCTTTGCAGCTGGAAGCAGAAGCGGGGGGGGGGGGGGGGGGCAGGCGGAGGAGCCAAGGAGCCAAGGAGGATGGGATGGAAGGTTGCTGGCAAAGCCAGGGACCAGTTTCTCAGAAAGTGATTGCAGAGTGATGAGTTAAAAGGACAATCTTGTCTTTATCTGCCTGTAGTAAAAATCCCAAATGTACAGTCTGGGGCTGTGTGGGAGACTCCAGATGAGTTACTTAATGTCTCTGAACCTCAGTACCGTCATCCGTGAAATGGGCGCAACAGGAGAACCCACACCACAATGCTGCAGAGGATTAGATGAGAGGGTGCATGCCACATGCCTTGCTTGGGGTCTGGCACATGGTAATGGTCAGTCCAGAAAGTACTGAGTATGAGTCAGTCACAGACACCTTTTTAACAGTGGGCAATGGCCAGGTGTGCAGGGCAGTGGGGGCACCTGGTGGGGGGCACTCCCAGAGTGGGGAACAGTATTTTCCCACGGAATGCCCTCTCCCTACCAAAGCTACTTGCTTGCAAGACAACACCCCACCATCTCAGGCAGATCCAGGGGACGGCCTGGCAACCTTCAGTGTGTGGCAGCTGAAGGTAAGCAGGAGAAGGGGTAAGGCAGTCACCCGGGGGGCGGAGGCCTGGCGGGGCAGGCCCAGGATGGAGAGGGGACGTGCTGAGCCAGGCCCCGCGTCAACCCTATAGTCGCCTGCCCACTTCTGCTCATATATCTCCCGGAGCGAAGCTGGCCAGGCCAAGGCTGCCTGGACTGGGACGTGACAGGGCAGGGACAGCCACTAGCAGTCTGGCCATTGAGCACCAGTGTCACATGGACATGTGTCTGGGCAGTGAGGCCAAAAAAGAGTCCCTCTTGTGCTCGAAACCATGCCAAGCCTCTCTTCTCTCCCAGACTCTTAGTGAGACACTCAACACCTTGGACAACAGTGAACTGCAACCTCCCTCTCCGGATACTCTTGGGGAGCCCTCCCTCCACCAGCCTTCCTCAGCCATAGCTCCGAGCTCCTTCCGTCTCCATGTCTGGCACCTCTTCACTTCCCTCCTCTACCTGCTCACATCCAGGCCTCTTTCAGGGCCCCAGTCCAAGGCCAGCAGCCCAGAGAAACCCAGGACACTGCCCCCATACCCAGGCTCTCATGGTATTCTACACACCTAACACCTCTCTTTATTTTTCTTCCTTCTGCTACCCAGGCAGCTTGGCAACCGGAGGCTCCTCTGTCTATCTGCAGGGAATCCTGCCTCCACCCCAGGTCTGGACCTTCCCCCAGGGCTCCGGGCTCCCAAGAGTCTCCCAGGAAGCCTTCCCAGCCCTTCCTGCTCAACCAAAGCCCAGCTTACCCTCTCCCGCCCGCCCTCCTGGTCTCCAGATCTCTGTAAAAGGAACCCCACCCACCAGTCGAAGAGCCACACACCTGGGCATCAGCTCCCCCCTCTCTCTCTATGTCTCTCCAAGTTCAGTCAATCTCCAAGTCAAGGGTTGCTCGACTGACCTTGGAAATCTGCATCCTCACGGCCACCATCCTGTCCAGACCCCAGCATCCCTCACTGCCTACAAGTCTCCAGGGCCTCTCTCACAGTCTCCTGGCTCCCGTTCCACCCACACCCCCACACCCCCCGCTTCCCCGGGCCATTCTTTGTGAATCTGGTCTGCCTCTGCCCACCTCTCCAGCTGCCTCTCTCCCCCAGGACTCCTTTCAGTCGCTCCCATCCACCTCGACTAACTGCTGATTTCAAATGCCTTACAATGTGTTTGATGTCTGGACCACTCCTTTCCTGTTCCTGCCACCACCGGCAACCTGGAGAGCTTAGCATGCACCTGGAAGGCTTCCCTGCACCCCATTCTGGCCTAGGTGTCCCTCTTCAGTGTCCTCAGAGCACCCTGTCCCTCCCCATCAGGGTCCTGATTCCTGGCGTCAAGACATTGACCTTGACAGCCTGTCAGAAGAAACAGCAGGAACCCTGTAGCTGCCCCACCCCCACCCCCACCCTTCTGCCTGCTGCACTGG